TATTTTTTAATTTAACTTTAGGAAACCTAGGACTGAATTGACCAACCTTTTTTACTATCTACCTATGGGCTGTTAGAGGCAAAGTCATCCTAGCTTATTTAACCTGTGAAGGCAAAGGAAAATAAATTCTCCCCATCTCCCTTAGATCTGAAGACAAAGCCTAAACCAGTGGTTCTCAACCTTCCTAGAGCCGCAGCCCTTTAATAAGGTTCCTGTGGGTCTTAACCCACAAGTTGAGAACCCCTGGCCTAAACCATTGTAGCATACCAGAAATGCCTGCTTCCTCCAGTTTATTGTAAAATTATGTACATGTTCCATTTGATCCATTATATGCCCACATTTGTTTTCATATTTTTTTTCTTATGCCTTACTCCCCAAAAACAAAGATTTGAGGAAGATGTCGGGGAGGGTAGAGAAGAACACATGTTTTAGAGAAGTTATAATTATATGTTTTATTGTATCATCTTTTAGAATATAACTTCCACTGAGTATCTTCAGTTTAATTTGATGGGGTTTTGTTGTTGTTGTTGTTGTTGTTGTTGTTGTTTTTCTTTTTTGTAGAGACAGAGCCTCACTTTATTGCCCTTCAGTAGAGTGCCATGGCATCACAGCTCACAGCAACCTCCAATTCCCAGGCTTAGGCGATTCTCCTGCCTCAGCCTCCCGAGTAGCTGGGACCACAGGCGCCCACCCTAATGCCTGGCTATTTTTTGTTGCAGTTTGGCTGGGGCCAGGTTTGAACCTACCACCCTCGGTATATGGGGCTGGCGCCCTACCCACTGAGCCACAAGCGCCACCCAATTTGATGGGTTTTTTTAATCAGTCCATTCCAAAAGACAGTATTTAGGCATTAGAACTATAAATGAAGTGGAAGATTTAAGTAAATTATTTTTCAAACCATGTAAGTTTTCCTTATGAGTTACATATAGTCCTAATGCAAGCCTTTCTTAGAGTTGTAGCCTCTATACCATGCTGAACATTGCTGTTGCATTGGTAGTTGTAAAAAAGAATTAAAAAGTCCTCAGGGTTATTCAAGGACTAAGAGCAACTTGGTAGGTAATTCTTATAATCTTAGAATTTCTAATTAGAGTCTTGAGATTTGTTGACTTCTTTCTGTAAAACTTTCCTGTTTTTGGCGACAACCAAAACTTACGTTGAGATAACTTCTGGTACTACCACCTCTGAATGTCTTGATCTTTAGATAAGAGAAAGATAAAATGTGCATGTGAACAGCATTTAAAAATAGCTGTAAAGAGTAAGCAAGAACTAGAAGCATCAGGTAAACTAGGAGGTACTCAGAAGCACCTTCTTAGATACCTACAGGCTCTTGTCAATGTCATTGGTCATCTGTTGTCTAACTTTGAACTGCTATTGCAAAAAATATCCTTGCTAGAGGAAGAAAATCTAGTACTTTGATAGGTGATTTAGAACCAGTGGTTCTCAACCTTCCTAATGCCACGACCCTCTAATACATTTCCCGTGGGTCACGACCCACAGATTGAGAACCACTGTGTAGACTTTTCTCAACTTGAACAGCAAAGGTCATGCTACTGAATTTATTTTAATACAAGTCAAATATTTTAAATTTAAATCAATGATAGTGTACCATATCATAGAATGTATAATTCAAGGTTAAAAAGAGTTGTTCAGCTATTTTACTTTAGTTTCAAACATTGATTTTTGTCATAAATTTTGATATTCATATAATGAAGCACATATATTTAGATACAAAGTCTAGTGTAAGTCCCTGTTTTCTAGGGATTATTTGATTCTCCAAGAAGTGATCGGTCTTGTTCCAAACCCCCAGAAACAAGCAGCAATGTTTAATGGCCAGGAGTATTCTGGAATTAGCAGTCCCAATCTTTTGGGCACCTGGGACCAGTTTCTTTCTCTTTTACTTTCTTTTTTTTTGAGAGTTTCAGTTTGTCACCCTGTATAAAGTGCTGTGGCATCATAGCTCACAGCAACGTCAAACTCAGGCTCAAGCAATTCTCTTGCCTCAGTCTCCCAAGTAGCTGGGACTACAGGCACCCACAAGGCCCGGCTATTTTCAGAAACAAGGTCTTACTCTAGCTCAGGCTGGTCTCTAACCTGTGAGCTCAGGCAAGCCACCCGCCTTGGCCTCCCAGAGTGCTAGGATTATAGGCGTGAGCCACCGAACTTGACCCTTTGGGACCAGTTTCATGGAAGACAAATATTCTGTGAATGGGAAGGATGGTTTTAATATTACACTGCAAGCAATTGATTTATTATGGTCTGTGCAGTCACAGCTCTCTCTTAATGATAATCTGTATTTGCAGCCACTTCCCAGCACTAGTATCACCACCTCATCTCCACCGCAGATCATTAGGTATTAGATTCTCGTAAGGAGTGTGCAGCCTAGACCCCTCACCTGTGCAGTTTACAGTAGGAGTCACGCTGCTGTCAGAATCTAAATGCTGCGCATCTGACAGGAGGCAGAGCTCAGGACGTGATACCTGAGATGGGAAGCGGCTGTAAATACAGATGAGGCTTTGCTTGCTGCCTGCTGCTCAACCTCCTGCCGTGAGGCCAGGTTTTTAACAGGCCACAGACTGGTACAGTATGATCCAGCCTCGGGCTTGGGGACTGCAGTTGTAGAGGGCCAGAATAGAAGTTGTGTTAGTTTCCTAAGGCTGCCATAGCAAATTACCAACAACTTGATGGCTTAAAATGACAGACATTTATTCTCTCAGGATTCTGGAGAGCAGAATTCAAAATCAGGTACCTCTAAAGACAGTTCTAAGGCTTGTAGCAGCACAACCTCAATCTTTACCACCGTCTTCACATGGCTGCCTTCCCTGTGTGCCTCTAGGTCCAAATCTCTCTCTCCTTTCTCTTATAAAGACATCAGTTGTTAGATTTAGGGTCCACCTTAAGTTCAGGACAATTTTATCTTGTGATCCTTTAAATAAATAAAATTGCAAAAGTCCTATTTCCAAATAAGGTCACGTTCTGAAATTCCAGGTGGACACAAATATGGTATGAGGGTGCTGTTTAACCCACTACAGTATTTAAGATTCTTTTATTTAAGAGATGATTTAAAATAATAACAGTATCACTTTCTGTATCTAAAACTTACACATTTACTATTGTGCTGATTTTCATAACATTGTTTATAAGGAAAGGAATCATATTTTAGGAAACTCTGCTATTTTTTTCTAATTCTTCACTCACTTCTCCCACAAGTAGTAAGATTGGGATATAGCTGACACCCTCTAGCCCACATTTAACCAGGAGGCAAGGAATGGTATGGAGTTGTTCAGAACATAGCTGTCTTGGACATGCGTGCACCCAGGACACCAAGGCTGATGCTCTGGTCCCCATGCCATAAGCAGACATCCTCAAACTACAGCCTGCGGGCCAGATGCAGCCTGCCTAGGACATTTATCCGGCCCAGAGGGTGGTTTTGCTGCCGCTGCCTGTCCTGCTTAGCAGCCAACTCGTCCCAGGGCCCATACTCTGGCCCTCCAGTGGTCTGAGGGACAGTGAACTGGCCCCCTATTTAAAAAGTTAGAGGATCCCTGAAGTAGAGTCTCTTGCTGGGTCCACTCAACTTTGTGTTTCCATTTAATAGTTCCAGCTTCTCTGCCTGCAAGCTGATGAGTAAATTAGAGTTAGGCATCTCAAGGTCTGGGGTTGAAGAGTGAAGTAGGAGGCCCTGTTACTCTCCATTCTAGCTTTGTGAGTCATAAAGTTGATATGTCATTTCCATTTACCTCAGTGCTATATGTTTTTACTTTGTCTTCCAGTGCTATGACAGTAATTCAAATAGATATTACTATGCCTATGTTTTTGTTTGTTTGTTTCTTTCTTTATTTTTACTGTGCCTAGTTTAAAAATAAATTCTTTACTGAGGCCATGTAAAGCACAGCTAGTTATTACAATGATCAGGAGTTAGAATCCAGATTGTCTGGCTATACATTGTTGGGTTTTTATGTTCACTTTGATGACCCACTAATAGAATTGAGAGCGGAAGTTTTCCAACATTATAGGTGAGAATCATTGTGTATATTGACTGTCAGCATTTTTTAATTTCCAAGTGACTACTGTGGCTGACAGTGTTCATGGAGAGTCAGGATCCTTGCCTTCATATAAACAGCTGATTACGTGTTAACAGTGATTAATAAATTATGAAACTTCTGTAAATATATAGTTTCCAAAACCTTAACAGCTCACCACAACTGCTCCAATAACTGAAAAACACAGCTACCAATGTATTAAGAGGTGTAGTGTAAAAGTCTTTACTTTATTCAAATGATATACTTTGCTGATTTCCTAAATTGTTTAATAAATATGGATTAACTCCTAGTTCTTCTATAAGCTCTGTAAGTTGTCCAAACATGTGATTGATATTATATATGATTTTTAAAAGAATTTCTTTAAATAATTATGAAATGGTTGGTTTTATGCCATTTTATAGCTTTGTTGTTTTGTGTGCTTTAGAACAAAATATGTGAAATTATTTTAGAAAACTATTTTATTGCCTGTAGTCCTAGCACTCTGGGAGGCCAAGGTGGGTGAATTGCTTGAGCTCATGAGTTCGACACCAGCCTGAGCTAGAGCGAGACCCCATCTCTAAAAGCAGCCGGGCATTGTGGCGGGCACCTATAGTCCCAGCTATTCAGGAGGCTGAGGCAAGAGGATCACTCAAGCCCAAGAGTTTGAGGTTGCTGTGAGCTATGACACTATAGCACTCTATGGAGGGCAACAAAGTGAGACTCTGTCTCCAAAAAAAAAAAAAAAACAACTATTTTATCAGGTCTAGTTGTTCATCTTACTGGGTATTCTTATGCATTATTCTGGAACATACTGCTGTTGTGTTTTAGATCATTTGGGTGACTAGAGTTCATTTCTGTGATGTTTTTCATCAAAGGTGCTCAAAGTAGGTTATGAATTTTTTCTGCCATTATTAACTGAGCTCACTTGATTTCTTTGTTTATTTCTAACTGAAGCTCATTTTCTCCCCTTTTTATTTTCAGATATTTGTATCTGCTGTTCTCTGGTGATGACCTTTTACCTTTAGACCACTGGGTGTTTAATACAGAGGCTCACCCTCTGCCCGTGTTACATTTAGCCAACACCACACTTTCAGGTAATCCTGCTGTTCGATGAAAGTAGCTCCAGAAGGCCGATTCTCACCTGTGTTTTGTTTACATGGACCACTACAGAAATTAGTCTGGAGAGGTGGCTTTTGAAAACCTGGACCTCTAATTCAAAATGACGGGGTGAAACTCTTCCCTGAAAGACTTTTCAACTTGTAGATATATCAGCTTTGAAATTATTCCATTTTATACCTGACCAAAACGTGTTCTGGTATGTGCTTTGATTCTCTGTGAGGTGGTCATATGAGAAGTGATTCTGATTACAACTAGATTGTTTTTAGAGTCCTGGAGGCTAGACTTCTTAAGAGCAACCAAGAATACAAAGGACGTTGAGAAGTTAAGGATGGCCTTGGAACCAGTTCTATATTTGTTTCCTCCTACGGTGGAGCAGCTTTCAAATCAAATATTTACACATTGTTTATCCCTTTTTTGTCTTCATTGTAATGATGGAATGAACTAGGATGAATAAGAATGAAAGAATAATATAATTGCATCAGTGATGAGAAGACTTGAAAAAAGAACAGAAGTATCTGCCCCTGTCTGAATTTCAAGTTCCCCATTGGATAACCAGACTGGCAATCATTTCAAATCCCAGTCTGTTTTATTGAAATCTCGTGATTAAATTTAATTTTCTCTGGAGGTGTGATCTCACAAAGAATACTCTTCATCTTTGTCTCCCTATAAAACTATTTGTCATAACCACTGCTTCCCAGCCTGGGTTGGGATTTTGTGCATGTAGTACAGTCTCGTGTTGCTAGCATGACAAGAAGTGGGGAAAATGCCACAGTTTATTGCCTTGAAACCTGTTCTAAAAGAAAGCCTTGGTTTTGTTGGTAGATTATTTTTCTGAACCAAATCTACTAAGTAAATTTCATCCTCTTAAATGTCGTAATAAAGTTAGTACAGTCATTCAACTTACAACTTTATTTATGTGGTGTGGCAAATTGACTACTGTTACGCAGCTCTGAATTTGCCTTGATAAGCTAAATTAGTTTTATAACTTACTTAATGAAGAATAAAATAGTGAAACTTTCTTAAATATTGTACCTGGAAGGGGATAGGGGATTCTTTATTATGTCATCAGATGAATGAGCTACTCACAAGTGTTTTATGTTTTTTATTTTCTCTAAGGATATTTATAGAAATCCAAAGAATTAATGAGGATAGCTTCAAAATAATTTTTAGTGATCAAAGTGTGGTATAATTATATCATACTACAATTGGGTTATATTTATGGTACTTTACCATTAATAGGTTTTTCTTCTTAAAGAAATACTATTTCTTTATATTTTGGCAGGAAGAAGTTAAATTTTATCGAGAACTATAAGATTAATACCTCATGCTTATAAATTTTCTGTCCCTTGAATTTAATGTGACAGTGTAAGACACTTTTTTCTATTTTCATTTAATACAGACAACTTCATTGATGTTAATAAAAGTTAGAAACAGTTTAATTAGTCTTTCATTTATTCTGAATTTGAAAATTTCATGAAACAAAGTTTATACAAGAAGCCCACCTTGGAATTCTCAAGACTTGTTTCCTTGTTTGATAGCTGTTCTTTTTAACCCACAATTAGCTTGTACATTTAAGTTGGGAAAAGATTTAACAAGTTAGTTAGTTAAACATTTCCTAAAATTGATCATCCTATACCACAAAGGATCAGTCCTTACAGTTCAGCCAATGATCTACAAGTGAAAGAGTTAAATTTTAGCACATATTTTGAAATACTAAATGTCTTTTGCTATTAGAGCATATAAAATTGTAAATGATAAATGAGAATGCTAGATGACTATCACTTTAGAGAAGGAAAAGTATTTGGTTCTCAAAAAAAAAGTTACCCTCCCTCCTAAAAATAGCACAAGCCCACTTATGAATCACCAAAAAAAGCAAAAAACTTGAGTTGGCAAAGACCCACAGCAGCTGTATAGATGGCAATGAACTCTCTCATTTCATTTACGAGAATGCCAAGTAAAGGGACCAGGGTTCCCCGGGAACTTCTCAAGGGATGAGGGGAGAACAACCTGTCCCCAAGTGCTCAGTCAGTATTACTCAGCCGACCAGAGCTCCACAGCAGGGAAAGTAGACAAGCAAAGTCAATTATGGTCCAGGCAAAGAATTTGAAAGGGACAAAGGAAGAGTCTTTTCCTGTGACCCCACCTTCTTTGTGGTGGTAAAACTAGAGCTTATAACAATGATTGTGTTTTCTTTTCTGAATACCAAAGGCAGTTGAAGTCAGCTACAAGTGACTCGCCAGTATTGTTTTATTTTTATTATAGATTTTTAAATTATTTCCTCCAAGATCAGTCTACTTCTGCTTAGTTTTCAAGAGTATTCTTTCCTTTCCAGCTCTTTGCATTTTGTAGACCTTATTTCTCAGGTTAAACACTCATTGCATTTATAAGATCCTCCACAAAGAACCCAGAAAAGTTCCTTTCCAGGTGCCGCCTCAAAGAGCTGATACTGCACCTTGTGGGTTTGGCACAAATTTGCAGAAAAGATACATCAGTTGGTATATTAAAAAAAAAAATGAGAATGTTGAATACTCCTTTGCCTTCTACATTTATTTCTTGTCAATTTAGAATCACACTTTTCGTTCAAATCAGATCTTTTTTCATTTAACTAGTATAAAGTTGTTAAAACTAAGAGAATGGGGTCCTAACCAAAAAGAAATCTCAGTGTAGAAAAATAAGTCCCTAGTGAAAAAGATCTTACTTTCTGGTAGGTTGCATATTTTATGTCTCTCTAACACCAACTTATTCCTGCCTTCGAGCAGATGTTCATATGTATAAGTAAAATATGGGTATTGAAGGAATACATTTTTTATGTGTGGAATATTGACGCTGATTCTGTATGATGTCATCTAGGGCAACCCAGGGCTTTGCTTAGTGGATTTTAACCAAGCAGTTTGAAATTTTGGTGATCATGGTCTCATCTCCACTTTCTATTGCCAAAGTCTCTGTCAAGCCTCCAGATTTGCTGTTGAAAGATTGTGCTTGCTATCCTCATAATAATGCAGTTTCTCCTTAAGCCGGATTTCTTGAGTGAGTGTCTGAATAAATGAGAGCATGAATAAACAAACACTGGTGAAGTACCTAATACAGGCCAAGCATTGTGCCTGGCACTTTTAAGCATTAGAACATTTTATGTGAGTCCAATGGCATTTTCTGTATGAGAATAGTTCAAATCATTTTAAATGTTGTCCAGTATGAATCATGTTACGAAATTCTTAATTTTGTATTTCATATAAATTAAAGAGGAAAAGGTTTATAATATATTTTAAACAATGTGTTACTATATACTACTACTAAAGTCTCTTGGAAAATATTAAAGAAATACTTGATTTCTGATGCAACTTTGACTAAAATATTTACTTTAGAAATAAAAAGTTCTTATTTTACTATATCACTTTAATTACATAATTAAAAATCAATGTTTTATAGAAGTGCTGATTATTTTATATTCAAAAGGTTTTGTCATGTAATTCATGGTTAAAACTTGTAGTTGTAAATTGTCTTAGCTCTGGTGTGGGTCCTACTGATGGTCCCATGCTGTTAAATATAAAGAAAAACATACTAAAATATTTCCAAGTTTCAAATAACAGTTCCTAGTAATAATATTTTTAGTTCTTATTTTCTTTTAGGTTTCTTACACTCATATTGGCCAGCTCTTATCCACTCTTTATATAGATATATACATAAATACAATTATACGAAGTTTTTTTATACTCTTTGTTAATTAACACACACAGTTGATAACTGGTTTTGGCTTTACAAATTATAAGCAGAATATTTGAGTAGTCACATATGATGTGGAGATATTTCTATCCACTTATTTTGGTTTGAGAACATTGGTGAAGATGATTTTCTGTTCAGCTCATTCAGATCATTATGGAGATGCTCCTTTTGATCTATAACCAATCAGCCAGCTTTTCTGCAAAAGGAAAGATGATAAATATTTCAGACCATGCAAGCTATATAGTCTCTCTTATTACTCCGTTCTGCTGTTGGAGCATGAAAGCAGGTATTGATAATATGTAAATGAATAGCTGTAGCTGTGGTCCAGTAGAATTTTATGCATAAAAGTAGATGGAGGGCTGAATTTCTTCCATGGATCATAGTTGCTGATCTCGTGTAAAATCCTCTAACCTTTGATCTGTATCTTTTTTGTTTTTTGATTTAAGTAATTCATTTTTGAAACAAAAAGATGTGCATATGTATGATTGTATGTGTTTGTATAACCTGAAGCTGTATGGTTTGTTGTCTTGAAAGAACAAAGATACACTTCCTGGAGTCTGTTCAGGTTTCAGGATGATACGATGACTATCATGAGAGAGGCAGAAAGTGTGTGTGGGGAGGTGGGTATGCTGTCTATCAGCCGTTAGCCTTGCCTTGTCATTTGATGCCCTAATTCCAGATTCCCCACGTAAAAGGGAGGTCTGTGTGTTGTCGGATGTTCTCTCCACATGCTCACTGACCCTTGGCCAGGATGCTGGATTGTGGAGCTCCAGAAATATGTCCACTTTGGTACTTTTAGAGCTCTACCACAAAATTATGATAAAATTTCTGATGCTTGTGCTATAGAAGCCAGTCCTCTGAAAAATTCTAAGCAAAAAAAAAAAAAAAAGTTTATGTTTATGTGCCTCATTTGCCATATGGCAGCCACCGTTTCTTTTTTATACTGTAGAAGGGCACTGCCTGTTACCTCTAGAACACCCTAAGACTGAGGAGTGCGGAGAAAAGAGGAGCTCCCTTTGTCTTTTCTTGCTTGACTTTCCTCAGTTCCTTTAAAAGTCAGTAGCATTTTTTCAGAATATCAGTATGTATTTTTCAATAGCAGCATACCTCAGCTTTATACCTTCATTCCTTAACACCTAATCCATTTCAAACTTGGTTTGAGCCCAGCAGTTACAAAGCTCAGAAAATTGCCCATGGAATTACATAACACCATGTTGCTAGCAGATAATGTTGCAATGACAGATAATAGATTTTTCACTAAGACGTGTATCAAGTATTTCACTATTTTTGGAATTTCTAGAGGAGGGGACTCCTACATTCAGAATGATAGAGGAAACGGAGATGGTCTCTCTTCCACATTATAATACATACGTGGTCTTTCTAGGTCCAACACACTGTAAGTTTGCTTCAGCTCAATGTGAATATTAAGTGTGGGCATATACCATATACATACATGTTAATAAGCAGAAGATTTTGAGTATAATTGTAAATGTCTTATAGCTGTTTACTACAGAATTCTACTGCAAGTTGCATACCAGAAAACCTCATGGAGAAAATAAGCTCAGCTCTTTGGTGGAAAAAAATTATTTTTTTAGAAAATTTAG